CCAACCGGACGATCAACGCCACCTATTCCCATATCTCAGGCACGTTCTGCCACCAACCTGAATGACCGGTTCGCTCGGGGACCACCCGCCTTCCGCTCAGACAGCCCAAATGCGCTTGGATACCCCGGCATAAGCAGGAACAACTCCTCGGGCGCGTCGAGCCCCGTCCTCGCCCGCCCGCAGTCGCCTGCATTGACAAGTCCCGTCATCAGTGACAGTGAAGAAGCTCATACCCTCAATGCTGCACTTCAGCCCAACGATCGGGGCAAAGCGACCGCCATGGGTGCTTTCAACAAACCCAAGGCGGCGTTCAGCGAGGAGCAGTATGCAGAGCGCTTGCGCCATATGCAGCAGGACCGCGAAGGGCGCTCAACACCACCTCAAAAGGCCGAGAGGTCCCCGCCTCGTAAGCCCACTTTGAGAGAGCGTGCAGAGCAGCAAAGGCGTAAGCGAGCTGAAAGTGACGCAAACGAACGGTCAAGCTCTGAATCAACTGCTGAACCAGCTAAAGCACCCTCTGCCTTCTCCAGGTTTCAAGCTGCTGCCAGTCAGATGAGAACCGCAGGTCCAGGTACACCGACTTCGCCACCGACCCAGCGCCTCCCAGCCATTCCACGCCAACCAGCAGCGTCTCCAGACAATTGCAACAAAGCCACCTTCTTCAGTTCCCCAGATTCCAGCGAAGCAGAAGATGAAGCTCCCAGGCCGCCGACCACGCGCTCGGCAGAGCCTGCTCGTCGATTTGACAATCTCCCCGTAGCAACCGGACCTGCACCCTCAATGTTCGAGCATCCCGCATTCCGCTCGCGGACAACATCAGAGGAAGAGGTTTCTCAGAATGGCCCTTCTTCGTACAGCCCTGCTCTTACCCAAGAGGCGTCTCCACGCCCCGACGAGACAGTGAAAGTGGACGGTACCGAGGTTGACTCACCAACACTGGGTCCTGAGAGCAGCGGACTGAGTGGAATGATCAGGCAGCATCTTCGCAACGTCAGCAATGTTTCTTCCAACTATGGTGAGCCAGGTCCTCCAATGATGAGCCCACCTATGGGGCTCGCCATTCATACACAAGGGTCTGGCTTCCAGCGCCGCCAACCGGGGTCGGAATCGGCTACCCCAGCTCCCTCAACATACAGCCACTCCAACCCATGGGATCTGGACGACATTGACAACCCCTACCGCGATGAACTCGTCAAGATGAACTCTGACGAGCAGGCCAACGCACAAAACGCCACACCACTGATCATGAGCGCAACCGAACCAAACCCTGCAGCTCCCTGGGATCTTACTCCGCGAAGGGCCCATGAGCGTGTCGCGAGCAACGAGACAGAGGCCGACCATGAAGCTTTCCAACGAGACCTCGCTCACAGGCAGCGCTTGATACAGGAGAATCTCCGTGCTAAGGCCGAAGGCCGTTCAACAAGTCCAGCACCAGCACCCGCGGGCCCATCCAACGGACTGAAGACAGCTTTGAACATGCTCCGTGCAAAGTCGAGCCGTGAATCTTTTGCTACAGTTGATGTTTCCAACAAATCGGTAAGGAAGCTTGCTCTTGGAGGAAGTTCAGCGAATGTCAGCAGCACCTCGCTCGTAGGCCTTCAGGGTGATATGCCAGCGCTGCGGCCAAAGCAGTCCCGAGTATTGCAGCAAAGTGAACAAGACGCACAGCGGGAGCACGAGAATCGCCAACGATCGGCAACCGAGAGCAGCCGCACTGGTCGTCCATCGGGTAGATCTCCACAGGCATCGACCAGAAGCTCCACGCGAGAGCGCTCGAGCTCTGGAACATCGTCAGGCCGTTCCCGGAGTCGCCATGATCAATACCGCGATGACCTGGACCAGGCTATGGCAGATGGCACCCGCGGCGCGTATCCTGCAAACACAATGCCATCAATGCCTGGATACTCTGCTCACCCCACGCCTCCACTTCCTTCTGAGAGACCATCGCTGGATTCCCAAGGTCGCATGCGATCGCGCAGCAACAGCAAGACTGCCGCGGCGAACTACTTCGAGTCGAAGCATCTGCACCCTATTCAGACTAACGCTGGACCGGGTCAGAACACTCGTCTGCCTCCTGGGGGAAAATTCTCCCCGGGAATCCCTATTTCACCCCGGCCTTCACCAGGTGGCTTCAGCAGTGCCAACGGCAATGGCTTCTCGCACCCAACATCTCCAGTGCCTCCGTTCTCCGCCAACCACACCCCTCCTGTCTCAAACCCCACTACACCCAACGCTGCCGCGTTCAACCCAAGTACCGTGCAGCCGTTGACCAAGACTGGAGTGCTACGAAAGAAGTCCATCGCGAAGTCGGAGATCTCGGAGCCGGTGTTCCTTTCCACAACGTCTTCGATTGACACCATCAACCTCCCAGCTGGTGCTTCTTTGAAGAATGGCATGGAAAACAACGCTCCCCCTGTTCCGCCAATCAACCCCATGAGGCGACGTTTCGGATTTGGCCGTGGTGAAAGCCAAAGCCAAAGCCCAACGGGACCATCACCTTACGATCCTGCTGTCCAGCATGGAATGGATGGACCTCGAGCCCCTTACGCTGAGCCACTCCGCACCAACTCGTCCGACGCAGTGATGAACCAATCGCAGCAACCAAAGAGCAGACTGCGGAAGGCATCTAGTGAAGGCAGGAGCCTGCGCGGAGACGCACAAAGCCAAATGGGACCCTCGCCAGCAATGCCTCAAAATGGCTTCACCGGACGCAATGGGTCACCTCCACGTCCTGCCAACGGTCAACAGCCCATGGAGGGTGGCATGTTCTAAACAGCACCTCAGCTATACGAGCTATTGCTCTGTCAGCACCTCAACATTCGTGATCAAAAGCGATCCTTTTTCAATCTTTGGCACATTTGGAAATCTCTTTTCTTTTCTGTATGTCTACTTTCGGTCCACGGATCGCCGTGTCTGCGATCACGGCCTTTTCTTTCCTTAATCTCTTTCGGCTTCCGGCTTAGCAATATACCTCCCCGTTCTGCGACTGCGACTTCTCTTTGCAAAGATCTCATTTTACGATCAACGATAGGGTTCTGGCTAGATTACAACCTTCACCGGGCTGGACACGGTGTTTCTGGAGGTTGGCAATAGCATCACACAAGTTTGAGTACATTCAGTAAGAGTCAGGTTCGGGAGGATTGCATGTTTATCGGAGTCTTCATGTACTGCTAGTCACTACAGCCTTTTCATAGGCTCACGGTTCAGCTCGTGCTGCCAGACTCGCGTCAACCAATTCGTGGTATTGAATACAATCAATTGCCTCATACAACAGATCCTATGCACAGGAATTCACTCGACATGCACACTAAATCGAGACCAATCGCATTATCACTATCAGACCTCAGCAGCGAGCGGCGACTGTTGGACGTGGGACAACGGTCGCAATATGTCTGAAACCCCCGCGGGCGTTGTTTGGACTGGTTTTCATGTACCGTGCCGCGTTTCCGGTTTCATCGCTGCCGAATGCATGCAGCGTCAACGGCGTTGACACCTTCACATGCAACATGCAGAAAAGCATGATTTTGTCACCATGCAAAAGGAATATGAGACGACATTGCCCATGTGCATAGGCGAGCGACTCACGAGCCCTGTGTTTCAGATGCCGCGAGAAGGGCCGTGCGCTGATTCGAGAACCTGGGATCGTCGCGATGGAAGATAAACTACGAAATCTCGGCTCGAGACGAGGCTCTATTGATCGTTGATACTCAGAAGAGGGTGAAAGATAACAATGGGATTGTGAGCGAAGGTTCTATGACGGAGAGATCGAATTGCTGTGGAAGGAGAAAGGGGATATCGGTGGGGACAGTGATCTAAGGCCCGCATGCCGCTTATCGCGTACCTGCATCTTGCGACCCATTTTCACGCGTCGCCTTCCTTTGTCGGAACCAGGACGTCAGCAACACAACCCGGCGCTCTTGGTAGCGGTATAGTGGCATCAAATTCCGTGCAATCTTGTCGACATTCAATGATGTACATACAATCTTAAGTAGCGGAGCGCAAGATGTTACTGCAAAAGACTAAGCGTTCGATGATGGAAGCTCCACGTCCAAAGTCCAGTCTACCGTAGCGGTGCACTACGCCACCGTGCCATTGGAACCGTCGACGGCATCTTCCCCATCCGCACGCCAAGGGGACATACTTTCGTCTAACGCAGGGTCGGTATCCGGTGCCGCACGAAGAACGCATGTCCCCCAAAGCGTTCGCTGTGCAAACAGAAAAGCAATTTAACAAGGCTATCAGCAAGCGTGATATGAGAGGGCAAAACGAGGAGAAGTCAGCAAAAGCCGTTGTGGTGTTCTATCGGGTACAGCATCCCTACACAACCAAGAGAAAAAGGTCTGGATTGCCAGGCGCAGGGCCTGCCAAAACAGCCCTGACACAGCTCCGCAGGCCGCCTGATTGGGCCGGCGACAAGAAATCGCACCGTCGCATTGCGCAGAGCAAAGAAAAGCAAGGCCGCCTCCCACCATCCATCTCCACAGCTGTGCCAGCATGCCGCTTAGCCAACGCTAAAGGACCGCAAGCTCGGCGCCATCCCAAACTCTAACTGCAACCTAACCCTCCTTCCGAGGCACATTGCACACCTATGCGAAGCTCTCGCTGCGCATCCGTCGCTCGTAACTCGACGAGATACACCCCTCTAGAATACGTAGGTGCGATCGAAGGCGCAGTAGATCGAGGAAACCAACAGCGCCCAGGGAGGGGTACTGGGGAAGATAGTCAACTGCATACCAAGGCTCTGCGACAAACCGCGGCAATCCCTGGGGACGATCACCGGGTAACTCCAATGTTAATCTCCACGAGTCTATTGCTCGTTAGGGAGCAGGCTTGGACCAAGGTATTGGTTGCCAGAATCTTATTCAGTACATAGACCCCCTCTCCGTCCCATCGTTTTTCTCGCTCAACCCTGTTCCATCTCACTTCGACATTCCCTCACTCCAGTCCGTCTTTCACATATCGAATACCATCGTCACTACATATTATACCATATAATCAAGATGCGTTTCCAGGCTACCGTCCTCGCCGTCGCGGCTTCGCTCGCTTTCGTTGGTGCTCAGGATTTGAGCGGTATCCCCCAGTGCGCTGTATGTTGCCCTTCGTCTCCTGTTCCCGATCGGATCGGACTTCGGAGCCCACACCTCCACTCGAAGACGATCACGATCGCGATCTAGGCACGTCGCATCTAGCATCGTTAACTAACACAACTACCAACAGATCCCCTGCTTCGTCGCTGCCCTCCCCAGCTCCAACTGCGGTGTGACAGACACAAACTGCCAGTGCACCAGCGGCCGCTCTGCCATTGAGAACTCGCTCCTCACTTGCGCACCTGAGCGATGCGAGCAGAGTGAAATCTCCAGTACGTTTTGCATACCCTACATACCTATCATCTTCGTCCATATCTAACGCGATTACTAGGCCTCGCCCCCGCTGTCTCCTCCCTCTGCGCCGCCGCCGGTGTAACCCTCTCCGACATCCCCACTGCCGTTCCCTCATCTGGCGCTTCCATGACCGGCTCAATGATGTCCAGCATGATGAGCGGACCCCCCACCATGAGCGGCTCCATGTCGCCCACCAGCTCCGGTGTCGCTGAGCAGACTGAGAACGCTGCTGCTGGCAAGCTTGCTAGCTACGGTGTTGTTGCCATGGGTATGGCTGCTGTCTTCGGATTGTAGATGTCGAATACCTGGAGGAGTGATACGAAGGGCGCGTTGGTTGATTAGGAATTTGTAATGCGACAATCGCTTGTATATCGCAATTGATACAGTATCGTTCACTTGAATCGCTGAAAGCTTGACGCCGCGCGCAAATGGTTGGTGATGTTGAAATCGTGTCGGGCTTTATTCCCTTGTTCACGCAGCTTCGAGTGCGATCGCCCATTTGCCAGACCACGCTGTGAACTCATCGTCGTCTCCAGCCCAGCTCTGCCTGACCAGCTCGATTGCGCTGCTTGCCTCACTACAGCATTTGTCCAGAGTCTGTTTCGCTTCGTCCTCATCCAGGTCGTAGAACGCGCCTGCGATGTCGTCGACCGTCTCGGGTATCGTCTTGAGGGTGTTCATGAGTGCGTCTAGCTTCTTGCAGGGTGGCAATACCGTGCCGTTCGTCGCAGCAGTCGGTTCGAGCGTGGACGATGCGGGATACGTCTTCAACCTCCTCTTGATCAGTGCTTGGTAGAGCATACCAATCATCTTGAGCTTCTTGACGCTGGTATCCAGTAGTTCCTTCAGCTCCTTGTTGTCCTTGCCAATCTTGTTCGATGCGCCGAAAATCTCGTCTTCCTCGTCGCTGCCTTCTGCTTCGTCATCCTCGTCTTCCACGTCTTCGCCCCATTCTTTTAGCTCCTCAATCGCATCTAACAGGACTGCGCGGTACTCTTGCGCTTTCTTGACCACGAGTCCTACAACGCCGTCTTCGCATAGTTTTAGTAGCGCGTCGCATACGTCCCATAGCACACCAGTCGAGGACAAGACTTCTTGCTTCTCGCTCTCAGTTGGGCCGGTGTCTTTGCCTTTCGCGTTTTGTCTTTTCTCTGCCATCTTCAGGATCATGGCGAGGACTTCTCCCCATGTTCCCAGCAGCCTCCGGACTTGCGCCTTAACTTCCGTGCGCATTATGTCTCCGATATCACCCCTCTGACCCTCTCGTGGTATATACGAAGCCGCAGTGACCATGCTGTTCAATGGACCCGAGGTCACATCGCCTATTTTCGCTATTATCGCCGATGGTGTGAGGGGCGGGTTGATGAGGAGGAGTGAGAGCGTCGTCGTATGCGATTTTAGGAGCTTTGTCGAGGCTCTGATAACATCGAGAGGATCTGCTATCTCCGTTTCAGACGTTGGCGCGGCATCTTTGGTGGGTGCGAGAGAGGACTGGTAGTGTGTGAGAAGTGCTTGTGTGGTTTTGGTGAGGTCGATGAGACTGCGCAGGTCTTTTGGTTTCGACATTGTGCGCTTCTTAATCAGGGAGAATTAAGGAGTATTGTCTTCTTCAAAACAGAGAAAGTGTGCGCAATTCACAAGCCAAAGTTTGGGCAGTATCAAAATTTTGGTGGGGCAGTGACTCCTAGCGGGGTACCTATGTGCGTAACTCCGTCATGCCCGTACCACAGCAGACATCCGCAGATGGCTGCGTCCATCTCAACCTTGCAGCGACACTATTCCAACCCGTATTTGGTTCTGTCCACTATTTCACGAGATCTTGGTCGATATGCTGGGCCCATCTTTCTTATACCACGGCCCAGTCCGGACCCCCACGATTGGGGAGGCGAAGTCGAGGCAGTGAACCTCAGCAGACCCTGTATGTGATGCGTCTCAGACACGACTGAACGAGGAGATGTGCCGCTGATGCATATATTCACATGTATGTAAGAGTCTGCCCCGACATCTGCTGAGGTCACAATGGCGCTCGTCCCCGCTCTCATGCTGCTTACATTGAGCCTCGCCAATGGGGCTCGCGCACTAGGCAATGAAGGCTGCGAGGCGCAGTCATTGCAGTTCACCGGTATTGCAGGTCTGACCACTGAAAAACTACAACTCCTCATCTCAAACTCCCACGTTGCAGGTGCATGCATGGCGGAATGCAAAGCAATTTCGCCTAGCTCAGCCATTCGTCGGCTCGATCCCAACGATACCGACAGCCTCGCAACATGAAGCTGGAGGACTCGCGATGAATTCGGTGAAGCAGAGCCTCACGTCCTGGGACAGTCCAGCCTGATGGTATATCTGGCAATCGCGGTTGCGCGAAGGACATAGGTCCCTACAGAGTACCTCAGGAATGCCACAGACCTCACCGGTATAGCCTTTTCTATCCGTTTTACTTCAGTACCAATCGTACCCTAGCACTCCCATCCACCCATTGTTTACCTCCTACGCAATGTCTTATGTCGAGGATACTTTTCCGGTCTATCGTCTCGATCAGGCAGATTTGGAGAGATACCTGAGCGAGCTGCACGGTTCGCGTGACTTCCACATTCAAGTAGGAAGTCCTGGAATTCGTGTCGATATGTGCTGAAAATAGTGTGCAGGTCATCAATGATACGTACAAGTTCCGAATTCCGAAGAAGTTGGATGCGGTATGAATTCTTATGTGATCAGTATTGGTACATATTCTGACCTTGAGGCAGAATCAGCGAAGTGCGCTTGGACGTCGACGGTGGGAGGATGATTGACGAGAAATGCTGGCCACGATTTTGTGGGGGCGGGCTGCATGCTGGTATGCCGCGGGGTTGACAGGATCTCGTGGCGATGTCCTAGGGCAACACCGGACTGGGAACTCGGTGCTGCGGTCATTTCTGCTGGTATATAGCTCAATCTACCCGATCTTCGCAGAGAGGCACTCTCCAGTTCCCAGTTGCTAGATTTCGACGCAATCGCTATGGATCAATACGTTTCATCATGCAAAGAGTTCCGACGTTATCCACAAAATCTCATACAACAACGTGCTCTCAGCCATAGCATGGTGGGGTATTTCGCTCGGCTGCAATCTCAATCCGAGCTCCTCTTTCAAGATGAGAAGGTAGCTGTGGACTTCCTCGATTATCGTGAACTAGATAATCGTAAGCACTCTGTTACTGGCCAACTTCTAGTTACTGACACCAGACAAGGCTTCAACTCGGCATGCGTCAAAAACCAACGAGAACTGGAACTCATACTCAGCTGTAGACAGTCGCTGACGCCTGAGGCTTTCGACCCGAGATGTCGTTTCATGTTGGTAAATCTTTGCTTTTCTTGCGAAACTCAGCTGAGGATGACAGATTCCTGACAGCTGGCCATGCCCGGGCGCCATTGAAGATCACGCATGAGATGTTCAGCTTTCTATGTACAATCTACCAGGTTGCTCCTTCGTTTCTGGATTTTGTCTTCCCTTTTGGACTGAGTGAAGAAGCACAAGATTTTTACTTCAGTGGACTGAGAGAAGAGTGCCGCTTGGCGTCGTACGACAAGGCTTGCGAGCTACCCAAATTAGACCGCTCAGGGAGAGACCTTCGCTTCTGCTACAACCTGAGGTCCGTGGAATCTACGAGGAGCACGCCAGAGATACCCTGGTCCATGCGCCAGTGTGCTGTGTATCACACTTTCGATGTAGAAAGTGGCAGAATGCTCTGGATCGTCGTCAAGGGAAACAAAGAGATCATGAAACGCGTCACTGAAGTTTCCCAGAAATCAACACAGAGCGGCAATCCTCTCAAGTCTCGTAGCGCTGCGTTTGCGGCGTCACTAGAAACGCATCTTGTGATATGCAATTGGTCCGGAGAGAACTGGCGATGGTACATCAACGCACTCGAAGATCGGTTGTCAGTTTTGGCACAAGGACTACTAGTATATGAAGTTGAGAGGCAGCCATCGCCGCTACCATCGCCTACGCTGCCAAAGATCACGAGTCCACGGTTCAGCGTAGGGCCATTCAGCCTGTCACGAGCTCATACATTGCGCCCGATTCTGACAGCAAACACCTGGACCCGGTCCAACACGTTTCAAGAAAGCCCAGAGACGTACGAGCCAACAACGGCAGGTAACAACAATCAGCCTTGCAGCTTCTGGCCTTCCTCGCCAAGAAAAAGCGCTCTTCCAGAGACGAAACCGTGGAGATCGGCTGTGAACAAGCTTCGCGGACTAATGACAAAGCCATCGCTTTTTAATGCTGTTCATAGCCGTCAGACTTCCGGAGATGAGAAGACATTGGTAGCATCTCCCGACACAACGGCACCACCACACTTCCCCTCTGCATCTCAAGATGGTAAGTTAGACAAGAAGTCGGACACGTTCACCTTCGACAATCTACGAGCCATACAGCATATTGAGGAGAAGGCACAAGAAGCCATGCTTGGGCTAAAGCTGAACACCGAAGTCCTTGAGCAATTGAGATTGCACTATGACGAAGTAGCGAAGCATGCCGACTTCCCACAGGATGTGAAGGATGAGTGCAGAGACAGTCTCCATCGATTCAACAAAACCATAGTTGGAGTGGAGAAAGACATACATATGCTGCGGTCGCGGATTGAGACGCTATTACACCTCCTGGCTAATCGGAAGAACTTGGTAAGCACGCATGAACTCGAGTTTCAGGACTATATATGCTAATACCATGTCAAAGTTGAGTGGCATCCTGCAGCATCGGAGTTCCAAAGCCAGCGAATTCTACGCAAAAGAATCTCGAGAGTCAGCGGCTCGCATGGAGGTAATGACTGTGAAGATGCAAGATCTTGCCATGAAGACGAAGCAAGAGACTGTGTCCATGAGAGTGATCACCACTGTGACCCTATTCTTTCTTCCAGCAACCTTCATCGCCGTAAGTGATCGATGTCATGCCTCGGATACGCACCCAGCTAATATCACTTAGACCTTCATGAGCACCGATATACTCAGGTTTCAAGATGGTGAACAAGATTTGCAAATGCAAGGTCTTAGGCTATATCTTATGATCGCTTTACCTGCGACCGGTCTGACCTTTCTTGTATGGTACTGCATATATCGCTTCGCTAGAAAGGAAACTTGGTCGAACGATCGGTCCGCAGCAGTTGGGGAGGCCTGATCTCTTATCGTATCGCGTGTTCGCGATCTACATCACATGCGATAGCTCATCATTTCTTGTTGGTGAAAGCCGTGGTTCGGTTTTGCAACGGTGCATTTCGGATAGGTGGGTGGTGTTTGGCGAGGCTTAATGCCTAGAGTGTCGCACCGCTAGAGCAGCAGAAGGTCGAACGGTGACGATATCTCCTCTCTTTTATCATAGATGTATAGATTTCTAGATAACTTTAGACTGTGATGGTTTTTCATTCAGATTTTAGCTTGCTAGTGTGATTAGTTGATCTTCGTGTGCATTTCAATTTGAGAGTCAGTCAATCCCAAAGCCAATCAGTCCTATGCAGAGGGCTAGTCGACTTTCAAAAGACCAGGCCCGCTGTAGAAGCCGTCGAAACTTGCGAGCGTATCAACGAGCCTGGGCTACGAGCCATGGTCAACGGCGGACCGATGCGTCTTGGCGGTTCCACGTTGTTCGACCTTAAAGCCAACGTCGTGTCAACAAGGGATTTCATCCTACCATTATACCTCCGAGCATCAAGCAGTACTCATTGCGAGCACGTATGCGTTATTGATGACAAAAGTAGGTTTATCGTGGTAGGTTTGTAGGCTGTAGCTATCACGGTCGCTCAGCCGCGTAGCCGCGTGGCCGCCAACTTTCCTGTTGTCACCTCTCCATTGTTCGCGATAACTCTCATTTCCTTTCGTCGCATATTTGACACAAGAATCCGTAAACTTCCAGATGAACGATGGCACGCTCAACGAAGGACGATGGCGCAGCTGATGCAGGTCCGGTTGAGTGTGGCTTGAGGCTGTGGGCGGGGTCCTGCTCGATCGCTTGCGCGACTAGACATGGAGTAGCTCCCCCGAGGCCCCAGGTGCCTGACTTCAGCCTGCCGCGCAGACTTGCGGAAGTTTCGACCTCACATTGAGCTTACGCGCAACCTTCATGCCGCTTCCTCTGCACCCCAAACTATTCCTATACCTATCGCGACTCGCACCGGACGAGAATACCTGATGCGCACCGTCCTCAATAGCCACGATGGGGGCTGAACTCGACGAGTTCTTCGAACATGTAAACGCCTACACAGCGCCCGCTATGACTGTGTCCCGACCACTGGACACCCGACCGATCGTATCACTTGATAAGCTCCAAGCCTATCTCACTACGGAAAGATCACGAAGGCTCTTGTTATACGAAGAAAGCGACCCCGGCTACGAGGATGCTGTCCGAACCAGTCACCTAGCTGTGTTTTCGATCCTACTTTCGATAAAAAAGGGTTTCCATCTATCAACATTTATACGACACGATCACATGGCAGACATAAGGCTACCTTTCCTTACCTGTGACGCATGGCCGGAGACAGTTCAGTACATGTTCGAAGAGTTCTACGAAGCACAATGGAAGTTCTGTCCAAAACGGCTCGTGTTTGGTCAACTGTACGACACATGGCTACATGAGAACATGGTCTTGCCCTTGAAGCATATATTACCCCTGAAAGAAGGGGTGGACGCGACTATCTCCAAGGTGGAGCTGTTCGAGGAGTACAACCACCTCATCTCAGTAGGTCAAGAGCGTGCGCGCGCGCAAAAGTCCGTGTATTCATAGCAACTAGCTGACTACTTTACGCTTAGAACGAGCTGAACATTCCCCCAACCAATGTCTTCATCCTGAAATCGAGCCCATCGGGCTATGCCAAATTACACAACAACGAGGTAGAAGCCTACAGAACACTACTAAGCCACCCGAGTGGCCGAGATGCGATGCAACATATGGCTCGTTTCTATGGTTCATGGACACAGGGTGAAACTCGTAACATATTGCGCGAATATGTTAGCGGTGGCACACTCGCAGACTTCTTCAGGCGGACCGAGCCGCCTACAACCAAAGCTGAAATCCTGGAGTTCTGGAACAACTTCATACAGTTCATCAAGCCGATAGCATGCATACATCGCCTCCCCAATCCGCAGAACCAACATTCATACAAAGTGGGGTACGTATGAAATCATGGATCTTCCTTCTTCTTTGTTCCGACTGACCATCGAAGACTTCATAACGACATCAAACCGGATAACATCCTCGTATCGGAGCCGAACGGGAACAGCCCGTATAGTGTGTCGTTCAAACTGGCAGACCTTGGTCTCGCCGGGTTTGTGGTGGCTAAAGAGTCGGACGAGGCGCAAATTCGCGATGTGCACGGTACGAAGATGTACAGTATGTCACGACCAAGGTCTAGACTTACCCAGATCTAACATGATTCCAAGGTGCACCCGAATACTTCCGCGGGGAGACAGATCGGTCCAGGCAACAAAGCATCAAGCAAGCTCGTCCGGCTAAGGATATTTGGGCTTTGGCTTGTGTGATCAGTGAAGCCGCGGTATGGTCTGTATTAGGCCAAAGAGGATTGGATGAGTACCATCGACAGCGCGTTAAAGCTGCTGATGCCATTCCGACTCTCGGGAATACTGGCTACAGCGGCTGCTTCCACGACACCACCGAAGTCCTCTCAGTTGTAGGAGAGATGCACAAGCAGGTCAACGAACGGTGCAGAGCAGCGATAGACAATGTCGTTAGCTCAGTTCTTCTCATTGTTCGCGGGATGATGAAGCAAGATCCGGCCAGTAGACCAGATGCGCGAACAGTTTACGACAACCTCACACAAGCTATAGACTTAGCGACACCATCGGTTCACCCATCATTCGACGATAGAATTACGCAACCAGCCGCAACAGACCCGTACAATCGATACTCCGTGCCTGTCACTCTATCCCCAAGCATGACGAACGGATTGGGCGTCACTATGAATGCAGGTTCGCGGCCGTTGCCCAGCGATGCACATGGGTATCAACCGGGTCGTCCCCCAGAAAGACGCACAACGATCAGTGGAGATCGTTCTCCTCGCCCAAATTCTGGTGCGTCGAGTATCAGACATGGAAGGACACCGAGACATGAGCCGTATAGTCCGACTGCCGATACTATACATGAATGGCAACGGACCCCACTGGCTCCTATCCGCAGTCATGGTTCACAGCCTAATGCGTCTGTGAGTCAGAGAGCCAGGCCTTCAGCTTCCATCACTCAGGTCTTGGAGCACATACGAAAGAAGAAGTTGCACATACCCACAATACTACAAGGCCAGGAATGGCTAGGTAGACTGGATGGTAGAGACCAGGTAATTTAATAATCTTGAGTAGTTTTGGGCGCTTTTGCTGACCTTACCCCACCAGATCTTCTTAATCGACGACTCCGAATCAATGGGGCAACACTGGGATGAAGTCAAAAGCGTCTTCGAAGCTCTAGCATACCTAGTAAAAACCATGGATCCAGATGGCATCGAGTTACATTTCGCCAATAGTCCTGGGCACAAAGGTCAGGCTAAGGACCGCCAAAGGCTGACCAGAAAATTCGAAAAAGTGAAACAACATGGCGAATGCCAGATGGGTATGGCACTGAGCAGAATCCTCCCACTCTACTACCAGAGCCCAACAAGCAAGCGATCATCCTTGTCTCTACGAGCAGAGGAAAAGCCTCCTGTCAATATCTACATTCTCACGGACGGTGTATGGTCGCCAGGTTCACATTGTGTTTCACAAATCCAAAGTCACATTACACACCTAGTCGATAATCTATGGAAGGCTGGAAAGCTGCAACACGTCGGTATTCAGTTCATCCGCTTCGGCGATGACCCGATCGGTAAACAGCGCCTCGAATATCTCGACAACGATAATTTGAAGCACTATGAGGTCCCCGGGGACATTGTCGACACGGAACCGTCCACTGGCAACGTTTTCAAAATGCTCCTCGCGAGCACAGATCCTTCCTGGGATAACGACGACGATGCGCCCAGCGGCTGAAGGGGACAACGTTTTAGCGGCATCTTGACACTCGTGCCACCAGGACAATTTCCGGCCAAACAATGACCTTCACTATGTTCCCAGCCATGAGATCAGATGACATGTATCGGAGCTCCTTTCCTTCTTGTTTTCGTTCTTCTGGAGTACTGCGTACGATACCCGGTGCATTACGGCGTTTTGGCGATATCGGCATCGCATTTAAGGGTAGACACGGCAAGCGCACGAACACACTGTTCAACTCCCACGGCCAGGCTGGCAGAATCAGCGACTTACGGGAAAGAAATCACTACGATAATAACGGAGAGCGATGTAGAGTCCAAATGCGACGTTTGTTCACTAGTCTACGCACATCAAACACGACCCTTCTACAGATGATGTACTTCGATGTCATATTCCTCACTTCGTGAATCGTCTCGCGTCATACAAACAGTCAGGCAAGAGAAGAAGAGCGATACGTGATAAGAAACACACTTGCTGAACAGCGACAGGCGCGTGTGCGCACTATCTTATACCAAGACCAGAAACACGATACGTCATACCGAGACCAGCAACGGGCCAGCACCAAGCGTACCACCCACCCTTCCTGCATACACGCTTCTCTCTAGCCCACCCCCACCCCAATACATCAGGCACGACGTCATCTCACCACTACCAAACCCCCAAATCCGACAGCCGCGCACTTCCACGTTCCCAAACCCCTACTCAACAACCTGCACGCTACGTAAGCCCATGCAGCTACCCGCTGCAGGTCAGCCTCAACTGCATAAGAGGGAACCGCCTGCCGCGTAAAACGGCTAACAGCGGGGCAACCAAGAAATCTTAGTAGGTGTAACCAGAGCTCAACAATATGCATGATGTACCCTTTTTGTGGAAGAGGGTTTGTTTGTTGAGGTTATCTCGGAATGCTCGGGAGATAGGGAGATAAGGAGATGGAAGGTAGGAGGGGTAGGAGTTAGTGGGAGATGCAGGGCCAAGCGCCTTCGCCATATGGCCGTCGTCATTATCGTGTACACCGAGCATTATAGTGAAGGGGGGTTGTTTGAACATGTTTTTGTTGCATTACAATACATAAATCTCTCTTGCGAAACCATGAACATATCTAATCTTGATGCGCCGGGTGACCCAAACACGCCACGTAGGGGAATAATGTTTCCTTCTAGGAAGGATATATGAACCGTTTTGCCCCTTGCTCCAACTATACTACCATGCATCTAATCGTTCGTGAATATTGAGGGACACCGCCCGCCGGTGTTGACACGTATATTTAACATTGCGCGATGGCGACGGAAACAGCCTGGTCGTCCGAGTGGCTGATGCTGATGTTGATGTTCTTAACACCTACGCGCTTGGCTTCTTCGTCGGCTTTGCCGTAGAGCTGTGAATACGTTAGTATATGGTTTCAGAGTTGGTAATAGTGGGGGCATACCTGAACGGTTGGCGCGCCAGACTTGTCGTTGATGATCTCGATATCCTTCAGCGGAGCACCGGCGCCTTCACCCTTGACACCAAGAGACTTGAAGACAGCCTCTTTCGCTGACCACTTGCCTGTGAAGCTGGCTTGTGGGTTTGGCGACTTTTGGCAGTATGCGATTTCCTTCTCGGTGAAGTTACGCTCGATAAAGGTCTCGTTCTCAATATTCAGCGCACTGAGGCTCTCAACATCGACACCAACCTTGCTGTTGGAAGAGGCTGTGGCTTGAGTGAGCTGCTCAACCATCTTCATCGTCTCTTGCGCCTTCTTGTCCTTCTTGGGAGCAGGAGTCTTCGCATAGCTGTATGTCGAAGTCTTCTTGTTCATGGTGACGCGCGCTTGCGGGTTGAGGAAGACCTCCTGCATCTTCTCGTCCTCGTATGGCGCCTTGTCCTTGGCACGGAACATGGTGTTGTTGATGAGGCCATCGTGGAAGTATCGGTATGCCCTCTTTTGGCGAGCTTCAACCTTTTGCTTGTAGGCAGCAAATTGGTGGTGCTCAAGAGCGGCGAACAGGTACTTGGGGTGAATACCGATAGCTTGAGTTCCCTTCTGTCCGAAACCGAACGAAGTAACGGAGAAGGCCTTGATACCATCGGTCTGGATGGCCTGCGATGGGTAGACGATGTAGTCGTATTGCTCCATGATCTTGTCGACGTTATCGGCGTTACGGTTGCCAGGCACAAGACCAGTGTTGAGCACCTGCAAGCAACCGTTGAACATCCAGGCACCGGCAGCACCCTTGGGATGACCAGTGAGGTACTTCTGCCAGATACCAAGCAGTGCATTGCCCTTCTTGCGGCCGAGGTGGCGCATCTGGTGGTTGATGACGTCGGACTCGTTCTTGTCGTTCGCAACAGTGGAGGTACCGTGGAAAGAAGCGACGTCGAGATCGTCAATGGTAAGACCCCAGGTAGCAAGAGCACCACGAAGAGGAGCAATGCGTGCATCTTGCTTCCAGAAGGCGTTACCGAGACTGTTGAGCGCGTCCTTTTCTTGTCGCTTAGCTTCCATCTCGATGTTAGCAGCACGCTCCTCGAGATAGGCAGCCTCGTCAAAGTCCTCGCCAGTGGCGTCCTTCATCGCCGCGACTTCCTCCTGGAGGTAGAGGACTTCCGACTCCTGCCACTGCTTGATCTGCTTGCGGCGAAGGTCCATCTGTCTCCTCCTGTACTTGATGTCAAGGAGCGGAGATGGGAACTTGGACGGGTTCTCTCGTGCGGTGGTCAATACACCCTTTCCTGGAGCAGGGACGGAACGACCAATCTTGTCGGTTGCTGTGGCCGTGAAGCCAAGGATACCGTAGATGGGGACTCCCATGTCGAGGGCGAGCTTGGCGTCCATGATGACTTGCATACCGCAACCTTGCGACTCCATGAAGCCATTTCGGGTTGTGGTGGTGGGGCGCGACATTTCCTTGGGTGTACGTCCATGGGCGAATTCGTCTTCGGCGTTGCTAGTGGCCTTCATGTTGGCGAATTCGTAGGAGCCTTCCTCTTGGAAGTCATCGAAACCACCAACGAAGCAGACACGGGCCTTTCCTTCAACGATCGTGTCGTAACCGATGTCAAGAGACTCAACAGCAGTGGCACAAGCACCGACGGGTGTCTTGATAGGTCCAGTGGATGAAATGAGCAACATATTGACCCAAGCGCTCATAGTGTTGATGAAAGACTCTTGCAGAATATCCTTCTGGACTGGCTTGTCCATGAATCGGTCTTTGTACATTCCTCGAAGGGCGGTAGTACCACCAATACCGGAACCGACGCAGTTACCGACTTGAGACAAGTGGACATATTGGTAGAACTCGTAGGGGTCGGTGATACCACTGGCAAGCAGACACTCGGCCGTGGAGACAAGCACGAAGAGTGTGACAGGGTCGACTTGGGAGATGATGTCGTCGGGCACACCGTACTTCTTTGCATCCCAGCCAGTCGGGATTTGACCAGCTACGAGACGGTCGAAGCGAAGAGCCTTGGGAAGGAGGAGTGTAGCTCCCTTCTTCATGCGGACAGTGTACTCGCTAGACTCTTCGATCGCAAAGATCTCAACCTTGTCACCATGCTCCTTCTTGAACTCCTCTGCAAGCTCCTTGGAAGCCTCGAATGGATCGAGATCCTCCTCAATCTGGATCTCTTGCATAAGCTGCTTCTTCTTGGGGTCGTAGCCATTGAAGAGCTCGGGCTCGATAAGGCGGATACCGGCGTGCTCGAGAATGTACTTCTCGTACTTGGGCTTGACATCCTTGTCATCGATTGGCTCGTTGGTCTTGGCGTCAACCCATCCGGAGTAGCTCTTGCCCTTGAGAGGACCGTTGTGGTTCTTGATGAGACCCATGATCCAAGCCATCTCAACGCATCCCTCAATGGAGAATTCGCCGTACGCTTCCATCTCCCAGCGTGTCCTGGAGTTACCCCAAGGACCGACTTCAGAGAAACCAGTGACGACGACGACCTTCTCAAGGTCGACCATACCCTTAAGGTTATCGTTGAGAGGCTTGACCTCTGTGTCCCAATCAGGTAGGGTGGGGAAGTCGAACTTCATGTTTGCACGTGGCTCGATCGTGGCCTTCTTGTATAGGGCCTCGCTGGCCTCGCCGTTGACAACCTTGTTCTCGATGGCATTCTCCTTGATGACGGCGCGGCGGATGTCGCTTGTCTCTGTGAGTTCCTTGCGCAAGTCGGTCATCAAGTCCTTCAGGTTAGGAATGTACTGGAAGCCGCCGTTGAGGTCAGCCCACACAGGCTCAACCTGGCAGAGGTTGACGATCGGTGGCGCCATCAAACCAAGCAAGTTGAAGGCCATCTCCTGCTGAGAGAAGGTGCGGACACCATACTTCTCAATACCCTCGGCGACGATGTTGTTGGCGCCCATCAAACCTGTGCCTCGAGTCCAGCCGATGACAGCACCACAGATGGTGAGGTAGTTGCCCCAGCTCTCTGAGTGCCACCTCGAGAAAAGAGTCTCGAGCGACATCTTGGATTCTGAGTAGAGACCGTCGTTACCGAAGGTTCCGTGGTTGGGTGACAATGGCAGGATGACTTGTGCTGGGCGGGTCTCGTAGCCGTAGGCCTGCTTTTGCTTCTTGACAGCTCCAAGCATGCGCAACAGGTTGGTCAACATGATGCGGTGAGCGAGCTCAGACTTGGAGTCGATGCTGTCAATTTCGCGGCCATTCTCTGGAATAGCAGCAAAAGGAACGATGAGGTCGAGATCCCATCCAAGGCCCTTCTTGGTGTCGAAGATGTAGTCGACCAAAGCTTCAACATCTTGGTTGCTGCCCTGGTTGAAAGGCACAACAATGAGCTGAGAGCCGCGGGCGCCGTATCGCGAGTACATGGACTGGTAGTACTCGGTGACCTCCCGGGAGAACCTGGAAGTTGTGACGACGACCTTGGCACCACCGCTGATGAGACCCTGAAGGACTTGCGCGCCGATAGAGCCCGCACCAGCGCCCGTCATAAGAGCGTACTTGCCCTGGAAAGTGACACCAGACTTAGCGGCATCCTCTAGGCAGTCCAGGTAAACG